CAACGAAATAAGAAAAGGCACCGAAAAACTGATCCTGATCCCAAAGCTCTCCTACACCCCGTACCCTAAACCCTGAACCCTAAACCCTAAACCCTAAACCCTAAACCCAACACAGCTGTACTAAGCTCAACTCAGAACACGCTCCGCCTCGAGAGCTCCAACATCACCGGCTCTCCATTAAGACGGTTCACCTTTGTAGGATTTAGGGTTTAGGGTTTAGGGTCTTTAGGATTTAGGGTTTAGGATTTAGGGTTTAGGATTTAGGGTTTAGGATTTAGGTTAAGGATTTAGGGTTTAGGGTTTGCCACTGACCCAGGGTTTGTATTCCTCTTATATTGGCCCCACCCGCCCCACCACTCCTAACATTAAGTATATGCCCCAAGATATGAACTCTCTTAGCGGGGTATATATATATATGTGTAATGGAAGAGGGAGTTAAGGTTTGAATCCTTCATCGCCCGCTTGATACTAGAAAACGTTGGATGGCTTCATGATACTATGGAATTGTGCCATAATTCTTAGGGTATGAGGCACTCATGTTCACGCAGCTGGTTATTTTGTAATATCAAGCGGGTATGGCTTCCCAGCTCCATACGCAGGGAAGCCCAAGAATAATATGGTAGGAATATACTATAATGGAATACAAGGACCCTGGTACGTATATCCCTGTTATATTGCTACCTTTACATACAAGAATTCTCATGCAGAGCCTACTGCAAAACTGGGGAATTGCCAAACATCTCCACACTAAGGGGAGTTCCTTGGTGAACCCAAAAAGAAAACGGAAGCTACTATATTATAATAGGGTATATATTGGGGTAATGAAAAAGAAAATGGATGCTACTATTTAGTTCCAGTAGCCTGCCTGAGGAGCAGTGCTAGGACTCAGAACTTAGGCTTACCGGGGTAAGGAAGGAAGATGGGAATATACTATATAGCGATTATATAGAGATTAAATTCCCTAATTCCCTACTACAGTAACCACTAGTAAGTAGGTTGATAGATACATCAAGGGAATTCTTGTATATTCCTGTCTCAGTACGAAGTGTGCAATCAAGTCATCAGGGTTAAGGGTGAAGATCTTCCTACAGCACATATTTTGCGCTTTTTCCAGCAACTAGGTCGTGACGTCTTCCACTGAGCCGCATTCCCCCCAAGCATGCAATCAAACCCTAACCCTAAACCCTAAAACCCTAACCCTAAACCCTAAAACCCTAACCCTAAACCCTAAAACCTAAACCCTAAAACCTAAACCCTAAACCAACTCATCGCCCCAAGGTTGTATGGGTCCTTCTTGGGATCACATGGAAGTTTCCCTAAATTACTGTTCCCAAAATGGGGGAAATGTATATAGGGCCCATAATAGGAACCCAAATATAGGACCCCGTATTGACAGTAATTTAGGACAATCCCCACATCAATAAATGGAATTCTATATTCCTTGCTGGGGCTTAGTAGAAGAAACCATACTGAACTCTTCATTGCAAAAGTCTTGTCGCTGAGCCCTCCCTACTCCTATACTGGCCTTTAGTTAGCTGGGAAGGAAGGAATGGAAAAGAACATGGAAACTCAAATAATGGGTTATATAGGGACTACAAGAAGGTTTCCATTCCTTCATTCCTAGCTAGCCAAAGGCTAGTATAACCCTTAGCCCTACCAGATTTAGGGTTTGGGTTTTGGGTTTTTGGGGGTTTAGGGTTTAGGTTTTGGGGTTTAAGGGGTGGGCTTAGAGTTTGGGTGGTAGGGTTTAGGGTTTGGGGTTCAGGATGGTGGGGTTTAGGCTTAAGGTTTAGAGGCCTAGAAACCCGAGCCCCAAACCCTACAGCCAAAGAGATCTCCTAAAATCCTGAAATCCCATGCAACCATGAACCCTAAATCTAACTCTACACCCTAAATCTCTTCAATCAACCCTAAACCCCCAAACCCTAAACCCCCAAGCTCTCCAAACCCTAAACCCTAAACCCTCTAACCCCAAACCCCAAAACCCCAAAACCCCAAAACCCTCGAAACCCTCCAAACCCTAAACCCCCTAAAGCCGCTGAATCCGAAATCCCTCCCTTCCAATGCACCCTCGGCACCGTTACTCGCATGCCGGAGCGCGTACGCGACTCGCGCACTTCTGTCAAGCGGCTGCCAAAGGCTTCTATGAGTTTAGGGTTTAGGCTTCAGGGGTTTAGGGTTTAGGGTTAAGGGTTTAGGGTTTATGGACCTAGTAAGATATAGGGGTCATATAGGAACAACGGAAAAGAAACTGGAAACTACTATATTGTAATAGGATATATATATACATATATATTGGGGTTATATTGTGTAGTGTTTTTTGGTGGTTGAACCTAGTAAGATAATATTCTTTATATAAAATACTATACCCAAGAGGAGGATAGAATCTTACTCTACATTGGGTACCATAGTATCCCCAAATGAAATACTACTCCTATGGTTTCAGGTTGTAGCAACTGGGTCCTATGCACCCCTTAAAACGGGTTTACAGGGATATATAGTAATATAAGGATTAGGGTTTATACTACCTACTGAGTTCCTTGATTTCCTCCATCCACCTCGAAAATGCACACTGAATATGTCCGCCGCGCCGAAGCTTCAGGGTTTAGGGCTTGGGTTTAGGTAACTCCCCCAGAGCCTACAATCTACGTGGTCTAGGGTTTCGGGTTCAGGCTTCAGGATTTAGAGTAGTGATGAGAAGGCAACTAGGGACAGGTGATCGTGTTGAAAGTTTGACCTTCTGTGTAGTTTGCATGTTTAAAGGCTTACCTAACCAACCCCTCTATACTACCTTTCCGCCCCTTCCCCACAAGGTTCCCCCTCCATTAGGCTTGAGCCTAATGAAGGGGTAAGCTAACCTAAGGGGGAGGCAGCTTAAACCCTATATCCTAAACCTGAAACCTGTAAACTGCCCCTCCTTCTGGCATCAGGGATACCAGCGAGGCAATCAATTGCTCCACCCAGGCTTCTCCCTGAGTCTTCCTGAGCAATATTGTTCTTGCAGGGTTCAGGGTTTAAAGGGCTACTATGGGTTTAAAACCCTAAACCCTAAACCCACAACCCCAAACCCTAAACCCTAAACCCTAAACCCCAAACCCTAAACCCCAAACCCTAAACCCAAAACCCAAAACCCTAAACCGCGTGATTCACTGGGCTTAAGCGGCCTTAGGCGTTTAGGCTCTGCAGGTTCCTAAATTGGGAATTGCGAGCTAAGAATAATAAGGGGATTTGGGTAACCCCAACCCCCAAAATTAGGACCCTATGACCATCATATGACTGCCATAGGGTCCTAATTTTGGGGGTTGGGGTTCCTGAAACCTTAAACCCTGAACCCTACA